CCAAAGCTCAAAAGCATCAATTCTCCTTCTATCCTCCTTAGTCATTGTCCAGCTCTCTGACGCATAACAAGTGATTGCAAAGACCATGGCCTGTATCAGGCGCACCATAGTCTCCAGAGACACAACGTTGCTCTTCAGTACTTTGGAGAGGTCCCTAACAGCAGACTTTTCCATCGCAATACATCTTTTTTTTTTTTAGATACAAAGATGAGCCTGGTTTATGATGTTCCACAGGTAAAATGTCCCCTACCCAAGGGCCATGTAAGCTAGTTATGAGACGTCAGCAGCCGCCCACAGGTCCATGGCCCAGCCAGCCCCATCTCCCAGCAATGCTGCTGGGCAGGCAGAGGGGATGTGTCGCCCTCACGCTGGCAGTGCTGGTGGGGAGGGGTCACCTTGCTGGATGTGCTGGAAGGACAGCTGAGGCGGAGGGCTGTTCCCCCCCCCCCCACAGTGGAGTGCTGCAGGGCCCTGGCCAGTTTTCAGGGAGCCCCGCTCTCAGTCAGTGATACAGCACCAAAGGCTTTCTCGAATAGGAGACGTTGTCCTTCAGCCGGGGGGACCCCACAGCCATGCGCACTTTGTTCCAGCGGTGGCCTTTATTGTAGATGGGCTTGACGGATTTGGGAGACCAACCGGACAGGTATCGGTTGAGCTGGGGTTTGCTCTTGGGAGCAAACCCTTCAGGAAGCTTCGGCCTGTGATTGGGTAACAGACCTGCGCGGTGGGCCATCTTGATGCACTCCTCAATCTTGCGGTGCTCCTCCTGGCACAGGCCTGTGACTGTTCGGGGCAGCATGCCTCCATGAGGACGGATGAACTGGCTCAGGAACAGGACATCCTCATAGTTATACTTGTGCTTCAGGTTCCAACGACAGATGGGGCACTGGCCAGAGGGGTTAGGGGGATGTGGACTCTCCTTGGGAGTCTCTGTGACGAAGCCTGCAACTATAGTCGTCTTCCCTTCTTGGATCTCCACCACTTTCCGGTACTCGCGTGCTGGGGACCAAGCCCAGCTGGTCGCGGTCGGGCCGGCAAGTAACCCCCGCAGCAGCCGACCACAGCCAGACACCAACACAGTAAGGCGCAATACATCTTTTAATTTCCTGGCTGCTGCTGCCGCCAAGAGTGTTAACCGTGGAGCCGAGCAAACTGAAGCTGTGAACAATCTCAATCTCTTCACCATCCATCCTAATGCTGCCAATTGGTCCAGTGGTGAGAATCTTTGTCTTACTGACATTGAGCCTCAATCCATATTGGAGGCTGCAGTCCTTGACCCTCTGCAGCAAGCATTTCAGGTCCTCCTCAGTTTCAGCAAGAATGGTTGTGCCATCTGCATAACACAGATTGTTGATAGATCTTCCACTAATCCTGATGCTACATATTTCCTCATAGAGCACAGCCTCCTAAATGATCTGTTCTGCATACAGGTTGAAAAGGTATGGAGACAGGACGCATCCCTGGCATACACCCTTCCCAGTTTTTAAACCATGCAGTGTTTCCTTGCTCTGTTCTGATGACTGTCTCTTGGTTCAAGTATAAGTTTCGCGTTAGCACAATCAAGTGTTCTTGGATTCCCATTCTTCTCAGTGTCAGCCACAGTTTTTATGATCCACACAAACACCTTTGCATAATCAATGAAGCACAGATAGACATTCCTCTGGTTCTCCCTGCTTTCAGCCAAGATCCATCTAACATTAGCTATAATATCCCTAGTACCACAACCCCTTCTAAACCCAGCCTGGACTTCTGGCAGTTCTCTTACCATTAGGCCATCAGATAAAAATCATTAACAAAAAAAAATTTTGAGGCAAATGTGAGTGTCCTAAGTTATGGTTTACACAGAATTTCAAATATAACTAATACAACCATGAACACAGGAGTTCTGGTGGCCTAATGGTAAGGAATTGTGCTGCCAATACAAAGAAAGGCAAGTGGTTCGAAACCACCCGCTGCTGCTCCATAAAAGAAAGATGGCCAATCTCCTCCCATGCTCCCATGCTCTGAAAGCCCACTGGCTATGGGGTTGATAGGCTCTGACTGGAAACTCTAATCTACAGCACAATAAAACACCACCGTGGAGAGAGACTTGTGTGCTGACATTTAGACTTAACAAAACGATAATGTGAAGATGGCAGACCACTTACACATGAGAAGCAGAAACTCAGCAAACTGAGCAACTGTTACTGTGACCAAGTAAATGTCTCTGGACGGAATGTTCTTGGACAGGTGGAGTGATATACAAGGCTTGGGAACTGTAGTGCTTGCTCCTGGATATAACAGACAAGTCTTCAGAACTGTGATGCTTGGTAAGGAACCAAAAAACAAAGCTGGTTTTTCTTCACTTGCTCTTTCAGAAAGTTAATAAATATGAAGGGCTGATCAAAAAATTAATTGCATTGGGAAAATCTGCTGTCAAGGGCCTCCTCAGAGTTCTAAGATGTCACTTTAGAGACTAAGGTGCACCTGATCCAGACCATGGTTCTCACAATACTTGCTATGCATCAGAGAACTGGATAATGACTAAGGATGAGAGAATTGATGCCTTTGAACTGTGGTGCTGCAGAAGAGTATTGAACATACCATGGACTGCTAGGAGAACAAACAGGTTAGTTCTGGAGAGGGTAAAACCAGGTTGTTCCTTAGAGATAAGGACTTTGAAGCCCCATCTAATATACTTCGAGCACATGGCCAGGAGGGACCAGTCCTTGGAGAGCGACATCATGCTTGGGAGGGTGGAGGGATAGCACAGGAAAGGAAGACCCTGGATGAGATGGATTGACTCAGTGATCGGGGTAATGAGGGCAGATGTGTCAGAGACAATGAAATTAGCTCACAATGGAGCCAGATTCAGAGCTGTTGCAGGGTTGCTGTGAGGCAGAGTTGACTCAATGGCACACAACAACAACAACAACAAAAAGAAGGGCAACCTGAGCTCCTTTCCTTCTTGAGGAGTTGAGTCCCCTGTCTGCTTTTTTTCCTTCTTCTTCTTCTTTTTTTTCCTCAAGAATAAATTTTTATTTCAGTGGACTCCATTGTGAAAAGGAAAACCATCAAAAGAAGCCCCATTGAGACTCTCTGCTCCTCGTTGATCCAGATTGCCTTCTTTTCTTGTGCAGCCTCAGATGCATCCCTGAGACACAATGGTGAAGGTCAGAGTAAACAGATTTAGGCCACATTGGGCACCTGGTCACCAGGACTGCTTTTAACTCTAACAAAATGGATGTTGTCGCCATCAATTGTCCCTTCATTGACCTCAACTATATGGTCTATATGTTCCAATATGATTGAACCCATAGCAAGTTCAACAGCGCTGCCAAGGCTGAGAATGGGAAGCTGGTCATCAATGGGAAAGCCATCACTATCTTCTAGAAACAAGATCCCGCCAATATCAAGTGGGGTGATGTTGGTACTGAGTATGTTGTGGAGTCCACTGGTGTCTTCATAACCTTGGAGAAGGTCAGGGATCACTTGAAGAGTGATGCTAAACAGGTAATCATCTCTGCTCCTTCTGCCGATGCCCCCATGTTTGTGATGGGCGTGACCCATGAAAAGTATGATGACTCTCTCAAAGTTGTCAGCAATGCCTCCTGCACCTCCCCTGGCCAAGGTCATCCATGACAACTTCAGCATTGTAAAGGGACTCATCATGACCATAGTCCATGTCATCACTGCCACACAAAAGACTGTGGATGGCCCCTTTGGAAAGCCGTGGCATGATGGCCCTGGAGCTGCTCAGAACATCATCACTGCATCTACTGGTGCTGCCAAAGCTGAGGGAAAGGTCATCCCTGAACTATATGGGAAACTTTCTGTCATGATTGTCTGTGTCTCCACCCCCAATGTGTCAGTTGTGGACATGACCTGCCATCTAGAGAAAGCTGCCAAATATGGATGACATCAAGAAAGTAGTAAAGCAGGTATCAGAAGGGCGGCTCAAGGACATCCTGAGATATACTGAAGACCAACTTGTCTCTGTGATTTTAACAGAGACACCCACTCTTCCGTCTTTGATGCTGGGGCTGACATTGCCCTGAACAACCACTTTGTTAAACTCATTTCCTGGTATGGCAATGAATTTGGCTACAGCAACCGGGTGATCAGCCTGGAGGTTCACATGGCCTCCAAAGAATACGAGCCCCTTGGACCACCAGCCCCAGCAATAGCAATAACAATAGCACTAAAAGAGAGAGAGACCCTCAGCTGCTGAGTAGTCCTTGCCCCAACTTGATCCTCCCACACACTGAGAATCTCACATCCTTGACACAGTTTCCATCCAATCCCCCTGAGAAAGGGAAAGGGCTTGGAGAGCCCATCTTGTTATGTACCATCTATAAAGTACATTGTACTCTTCACCAAAGAAGACATTCAGATGGCTAACAAGCACATGAAGAAATGTTCAAAATCCCTAGCTCTAAGAGAGATGCAAATCAAAACAACTACGAGATATCATCTCACCCTAGTCAGAACAGCAAAATTTAACAGAGCAGCAAACAACAAATGCTGGCGAGGCTGTGGAGAAACTGGAACCCTTATTCACCATTGGTGGGAGTGTAAAATGGTACAACCCCTGTGGAAGGCGGTATGGAACTTTCTAAAAAAGTTGCAAATAGAGATACCATTTTGACCCAGCAATACCATTACTTGGAATATACCCCAAAGAGACCATAACTGACATCCAAGCAGATATATGCACTCCTATGTTTACTGCAGCTTTGTTCACAATAGCAAGGAGTTGGAAACAACCTAAG